CCACTGGGTTCAGCCTTAGGGATGTGGTGTTGAGATCCCACAGCTGGCTTGAATCAGGTTCAAGAGGCATATTAGTTAGGGATGGGTAATAGTAACTGCTGTTAATAGATAAATCCCCAAATCTCGATACCATAACATAACAGGTGTTTTAGGTAAATAGGTGAAGCATGACAGTTGGAAATACGTGAAAAATCCTTACAGAAAGTCAACAGAACATAAGAAAACTGAGTATTTCTATAAAGAGTTATCTGGAGTTAAAAGATGGACATTGTCATACATTAGCAACAGCCTAAGGGAGATTCTTGAGGAAGCCTTATTTGACCTCCTCTTCCTGACAAGATTAGATTAGGCATCTTCCCAAGTGCCTCCACTCAACTTGTACTTCTCCTCTTAGGCTGTCCCTGTTATAGTGACCATCACATGATGTAATGTAATGTTGTTATTTCTCCTACTAGGCTGTAAGCCCCATGACAGCAAGAATTACATCTTCTCACCCTTGTCTTCCCAGTACTCAGAACAGTGCCTAGCACATAATAGGTACTTATTCATATTCATTGAAGGAAGAGAGAAATGGAAGAAGGAAAGGAGAAATGGAGAGAGGGAAGAAGCACAAGAACTCAAAAAGATGTTAAACCTTAGAAGACAAAGACTAGCTATAATCTTTCAGTTGTATAAGAAAGTGAATTAATTCGAAAGTAAGCCACAGAAATGTGAAAAATGCCAATTCTAAATGCCATTATGCTAGAGGGGGAAAAACAGGAAAAAAATAATGTCAATTTCATTTTTACTCTTACGCTTTTCACATTATGTGCCACTACGTGGAAATAAACTATAGAGAAGGAACATATTAGAATTAACCTACTATTAACTATAATATGTAAAAACTTTATTTTGGGAATAAATGTTGTTTGTGCCTGTTTCCATCTCCTTCCACAAGGGTAAAAAAGAAATTTCTGAGCAAACATACAGGGCAAACAGAGCCTCCCTGAAACCCTTGTGCCTGAGATACTGCTACTTAGTGTACATAAATGTATTTATCGAGCTACATGTGCAAATTATGGTGTTGGCTGTGCAAACAAGGCCATATTACTTAAGTCATTGATGGAACAAAATTTGGCGTCTTTTCAAAGTCTAGAACAGTCTTATCAGAAATTATAAAGCACTTTACTAACATTCATCTTAAGTGAATTCTAGGCTTAAGAAAATCAAGTATGAGGCTTATAGGGATACTTTATAAAAGAGTAAAAGTTGTAAATTATTTCAGGAATTTTCTCATTTATGCAACATTTGCCCCTTCCTAAATATTTCCAAATATATTTTATTTTGAGTCAATTTTCCTTTTGAGAGCCTTAAGATCTCAAGTAAAATCAATACACAAACTGAGCAGTATCTCCAAAGAAATGCTTATTAATTATAACCCGTGCCATATTAGCATCACATAGATTCAAAACTCCAGCCTTTATGACCTTGAAAAGGGAAATATTTATATATGTTTAAAATACATACACCTAGGAAGAAGTTTTACTAATCATGGAATGATATATTTCATAGAAGCATATAAGCTTGAGATACTCTGGCCAATTTGGCAACTATATATTTACATTTTTCTAATGATTTTATATAATCCACTATTTCTCTCAAGTTTCATTACAGGTAACATTCCTTGCTGTTGTCCTTCTAAATTGATAACAAGCTCACATTCTCAATTATTTTCCTGTCTCCTTTTTCCATTGAGGAAATCTTCGATTAAGTCACATTTCAATAAACTGAATTTTCTCTTGTGAGTCTCTGTGTGATGAGCTCTAATTAGAGTTCAATGGTAAACTTGATTATCCAGTTCATGGATTGATAATCAATGATGTTTGCTTCTCTTCCTTGTTCTAGTGAAGAATGCTTTCTGTCAGTGTGTTGAGATTTGGGGGAATTTTTGAATCAACGACAAAGTGAAAAGTTCTCAATTATTACAAGATTTATATTACCCAATTCCCTCATGATCACCAATAATGAAAAGTTCACAGTGGAAAGTCTGCAGACATATTTCAGGTGTAATTAAATTAAATTCTTAGTGTTTGTCAGCGCGTGGTCCTTTGACCATCAGCATCAAAATCACCTGGGATGCTTGTTAAAAGTGCCTATTCCCAGCTCCTGTCTAATATCTATACATCCCCATCTTTGTGTGTTTTTTTAACAACATCTAAGAATCTCCCTTCTCTGTTTTAACGTTTTAAAAATAAAATGAATAAAAAGTGAATAAAATGGATTATGTGATCAATATAGGTCACAGATTTTTCTAAACCTCCCAAAATATTTCAATCTAATATGAATGAACCCAAAAGAGAACAGAGGGGTTCGCTGTTTTGGATTTCGCTGAATGACAGGAAGGTTTAGGTCTTCCCTAATGTCATTTTCATTCCCCTAGGCTATCAGAAAGGAATCTGAAATGGACTTTCCAAGAAGAGGGTGTGGAGTCTGAAATCTTGTTTCTTTGCAAGATCAGGGTGGCTGCCCAGAGGAAATCCCTCACTTTAGGGGATTACATTCCAGTTTCTAAATGTTTGGAAAACATGAGTCGATGAGCAAAATGGAGAGTTACAGAGAAAATGAAGACGATCTGAACCATGAAGAATTCAGCTCGTTGATTTGGACCCAGTGCCTGGTTTGAAAGGCAAATGTTTTATTACTTGGCAGGATTCCCATTACATGTCACTCTTTATAGCTTGCATTTTCTAGTCCTTTCAAACATCAATTCTGTAAGGCCTCACATTTCTTTCTCCCATTCATGGACTAAAGACAGACTTTACAGGTACTGGGAAAGTTCCCTCCCTGTACTTAGGAATGAATGAAAAATGCTAGGATCATTACAATTTCTCTATATGAATTTATTGTTGGTTCCTACTGATTGTAAGTTGGAAATGTTTAAAATACCTAAAAGCATCATAATACCAGTCCAGATTATATATTTTTTCCATTTTTGTTATGCCTGTAAAATAAAAATGGTAAACATTGATAGTATCAACGGGCAGGCAATAGATGAGTAAGTCATGTACAAGATGGAAGGAAAGTGGAACTATGGCAAAATGGAGAATCAATGTCCAGTCTGAAGGAATTTTTTAAAATTGCACTGGCCAAACGAAATAGTGGTCTTTTAATACTGCTGGCATGGATCCCTGAAAAAGATTTCCCAAACTTTACTGTAAAATACCTACAATGATTCAGAAGAAAACACACAAAAACCAACTATGGTGAAATCAGTACTATTAGTCAAGTTATTGCCAGAATTTGAAAAGAATTTCTACTAACTGTAAGACTGATGGAGCTAGATGGAAAAAGTCTCATGCTATGCTGGCCTAGAAGTCCATAAGAGAACCATTTGTCTGTTTTCACTGTCAGTCCCTGGGGTAACCTCTAAAGCCTATTCCAATCACAAACCTGAGGAATTATCCTTGCTCCAAGTGATTGCTATTTTCTGTGCAAGGAAAAATAGAGCAGACTGATTCCCTTTAACTACCTATCTACCATCCAAAGACTACAATTTTCAGGAAGAGGCTGAGCAGGAAGCGGGAAAGGGCATTGTGAAAGGCTCTACCACTTGTAAACATTTATTTACATGTGTGTCTCCATTTACTAAAGTGGGAGTTTCTCAAGAGATGGAAGATGACAGTTTCCATGGCTGTGAATAACAGTGGACTAACACAGCACCTGGTATACACAGAAAGTCAATGAATGTTAGTTCAACAAATTAATGAATGAATGAGTGTGAAGGGTAGTTTAAAAAAGTTAGCGGAGAGCCCTGACAGCTAAGTTTATTAGTTCAGACTTGGCATTTTGCAATAGAGCATCAACAAAAGGTTTTGAGCTCAAAAATGATTTAAAAGGAATAATTGCAGGAGCTGCTAGTACTCTATGTACTAAGGCAGTAGAATTGGTCACTAGATGAGAATGACGGCTCAAATAACCACAAGTATATACAGTGGCAGTTCAACAAGTAAAACTGCTTGCTAAGTTGCCCAACTATGCAAATTTTAATTCTAAAAATGAACATTTTACATAATTAAGAAGTCAATTTCACAAGGAGGCTTTCCAGGTCCCCTGTAAAAAATAGGAAAAATAACATTTCTTCTCCTAAAAGAGGCCAACACAAGCCCAGGGTGACTGTTCTGTTCCACTTAGATAAAGACATTTTATTTTAAATAAGTTCCATGGATTGCACCATTGTGGACTCAGCAATGTTAAGGAGTCTATAAACCTGGAATCTGTAGCCATTTTCCCCCCAAACTTTTTTGTGACATTTTAAGAATCTTCAGCTCTTTTTTTGTGTCAGTGCCTTTATGAGTCAAATGGAGTTACAGATTCTACCCCCTCATGGGAATATGAAGATTAATGATAAAATAAGAGTGAAGCATAGAGTCTCTCAGGCATTTGAATGCAGTGATTCCCTTGGATCACTGTGGATCCCTGTTGTTGTACCTCTTCATATCTGAACATATTTAATGTGATTATTAACCTGCAGGGTAGCCTGTGACCTAAAGAAGAGGTAGGGAGGTAATATTTTATTACAAATAGCAGGGTTCAATGAAGACTAGCTCTTTGTCCATCTATGGAGCATGTGGGAGTGGGAAGGTGATGGGAGAGAATGGCTCGTAATATCATTTTGGTCTGTTTGTGGACATTTTGTCACAGCCTGTTGGTTCCTAGAATACTTTATCACTTTCACCTCTTCAAGAACAACTGCTATTGTGTGATGTGAGTACAATTTAGAAAGTTTTTAGACACTTCTAGGTCTTTAACCACTTTGTTAACTAAAGCTTTGATGATTTGAAATGAGTCTGTTTCTAGTCAATATAAATTTTTTAAAAAATCTTTAAAAGATTGCCGTTTCTATATCTAAATAAAATCACTGTGACAGATTTTTGTAAAGGTATAGGTGTAACACTGACATTAATCAAAAATAAATAATTCTTTTACAATGTCCATTCAACTATAACTAAACCCACCTTCATGACGGGGCGGGGGGGGAACTGGTGATTTCTATCCATGTGTACAACAGAAGCAGCCAGAAATTCAGTCCTAGTGGAGACATATAACAGTCACACAGCTATGACATTCTAAAAGGAAGAAAAATCATACTTATTAAGTAATTCCATCAGGATTAGCATTAACAGTAATCTGGGCAGGAGTTTTTAACACCCAAATAGTTGGCTCTCTGAAGTTTTCAAACGAGAGAGAGTTTTGTGCTACAGGCAGATTTACAGCCATCTCCTGGGCGTTAGGACCAAAATTCCTGCTAAAATATATATGTGTTATTTTATCAGATCAGATTTTTAATTCACAGCATACTTCCATACTTGACAGCTCAAAAAAGGCTCTTTTTAGTAAATAGTCAATATTTTTCTGTTTAAAAGTTTAAAGAAATTATTACATTGTGTTTCTTTTCTTTTGAGGGAGTTGAACTTGATTTGACTAAACCACTCTAAATTAGAAGAAACATTTATTTCATAAATTAAGTGATATTTACATTGTGTAAAAAGTCTCCAGTTGGCGGTCGGGCACAGTGGCTCACACCTGTAATCCCAGCACTTTGGGAGGCCAAGGTGGGAGGATCACGAGGTCAGGAGATCAAGACCATCCTGGCTAACACGGTGAAACCCCGTCTCCACTAAAAATACCAAAAAAAATTAGCCAGGCGTGGTGGCGGGTGCCTGTAGTCCCAGCTACTTGGGAGGCTGAGGCAGGAGAATTGCTTGATCCCGGGAGGTGAAGGTTGCAGTGAGCCAAGAGCATCACTATACTCCAGCCTGGGCAACAGAGCAAGACTCCATCTCAAAAAAATAAATTAATTAATTAAAAAGTCTCCAGTTGGCAAGGAGGTGACCTGTTAAGGAAAATGAAGTAAGTGCATTATGTGAGCTGATATGGTTTTGAAAGAGTGGAAACCTAAGATATCAGATGGAAAAGGCACACCACATTGCACTGCCTTTCTTCATAATCAATATGCCATATTCTATAGTGCAGGGAAGTTAACTCATTATTGGCCTGGTAGAGTAAGTGTTTTTATTTTTATTTATTTTTTATTTTTTGAGACACAGTCTCACTCTCATTGCTCAGGCTGAAGTGCTGGGGAACAGTCACGGCTCACTGCAGCCTTGACTTCCTGGGCTCAAGTGATCCTCCCACTTCAGCCTAACTCCTAAGTATCTGGGACTACAGGTCCACACCACCACGCCCTGCTAATTTTTTATATTTTTGGTAAATATGCGGTTTGCCATGTTGTCCAGGCTGGTCACAAACTCCTGGGGTCAAGCAAACTGCCTGCCTCGGCCTCCCAAAGCGCTAGGATTACAGGAATGAGCCACTGCACCCAGCCTGAGTCAGTGTTTCTAAAGATAATCTTCACTGTGGGAAAAAGGAAAGGAGATGAATATGTCTCTACTTATAAACTGATCATTGTAAACCTGGAAGTTTGGCCTTAAAAAATGATACATCTTGGATCATTTAAGCTCTTTTTATACTGGGAAAACTTTGCAATCTACCAAACTTCATTGTAATGGCATCTATTTTTTGTGCTGAAATTTTGAACTTGTGATCTATCTAGATATCTAAACCATGAGATGAACTCTAAACAACTACATTTTCCATGACACATATTTTGGATATTGTCTAGCGTTCTTTGCTATTGATTAGTAAGGCTGTTAGTATTTGACCAAGTACCTGGTCTCATCACAGTCCCATTTTCATGTCTATCTTCATCAGGGCTAGAATTTACATTTTGGCATTTGGATTACTGAAATTGCCTCTTCCTTGCCAAAAAACAAAACAAAACAAAACAAAAGAAGACATCACGAGAACTGCACTGTGTCTTGGAGTTCAACCCACAGAACTGTACATCAGCAAAAAATTACATCAGCAATACCATTAGTAATGTTTCGATAGCATTAAACTTCTCTAAAACACCATGTAGTTTTGATAGCACAAATACTTCTTAATTCAATAATGTATGATTTCTCAATTCCTGCTTTTAACAAGTGTCACGATCAAGACTTTCTTTGAAAAGACAGAGTTACAATTCTGCTTTTAATGTAAACATGTCAAATATTTCTCTAAGCTCTTTGTTCAATAAAAAATATTTATGTGCCTACTTACACATGCCAGACACTGTTCTAAGGCATGAGGATTGAGTAATGATCAAGTCAGAGTCCCTGTCTTGATGGAACTTACATTCTAACAGTGGAGACAGGCAATAAACAAGTGAACAAATAAATAGAGAACACAACACATAAAACAATGCCAGGAGTACCAAGTACAATGGAGACAAATAGGCACTGGTAGGGGGAGGAAGAGGTTGGTTATTTTACACAGGGCAATCAGGGAAGGCTGCTAGAGGAGCTTACATTTGGGAAAAAACCTTACAATGTGAGGGAAGGAATCATGGAAGATACGAGGCAGAAGGTTCCAGACAAAAGAAAAAACAAGCACAAAGGTCCTGGAATGCAAGCTTACTTGGCATCAAAATGGAAAAGCAGAAAGGCTTACGTAGCTGGAAAATAATGAGGGAAGAGGACAGTGGTGGGAAATGAGGTCAGAGAGTAGCCAGGTGCTATGATTTGAACGTTTGTCCACTCCAAAACTCATGCTGAAATTCTAATTGCCACTCATTCTCCAGCATGAAGAGATGGGATTATTAAGAGGGTATTGGGCCATGCAGACTCTAACTCTCCTCATGGATGGATTAATGCTGTCATCTAGGTAGTGGGTTCTTATAAAAGGGTAAGTTCAACTTTCTCACGCTCCTCTTTCTCTCTGCCTCTCTCTCCTTTTCTACTCTTGTGAAATGTGAGGAACAGTGTTCCTTCCCTCTGGAGGATGCAGCATTCAGTGCACTATTTTGAAAGTGGAGACAAGACCCTCACCAGAGCCCAAACCTGCTGGTGCCTCCAGTTTTCCAGTGCCATGAGAAGTAAATTTCTATTGCTTAAAAATTACCCAGTCTGTGGTATTTTGTTATAGAAGCACAAAATGAACTGAGACACCAGGGACCACATCACGTGGGGCCTTGATGCTGTGGTAAGTGATATGGTTTGGGTCTGTGTTGCTGCCCAAATCTCAGGTCAAATTGTAATCCCCAGTGTTGAAGGTGGAGCCTGGTGGGAGGTGACTGGATCATGGGAGTAAATTTTCCCCTTGATACTGTGCCACAATAGTATGTTTTCGTGAGATCTGGTTAAAAGTGTGTGGCACCTCCCCCTCTCTCTTGCTCCTATTCCAGTCATGTTAAGACATGCCTGCCTCCCTTTCACCTTCCACCATGATTGTAAGTTTCCTGAGAACTTCCCAGAAGCTGAGCAGATCATCATGCTTCCTGTAAAGCCTGCAGAACCGTGAGCCAATTAAACCTCTTTTCTTTGTTAATTACCCAGTCTCAGCTATTTCTTTATAGAAATGTGAGAATGGACTAGTATAGTAAGGAGTCTGGATTTTATTTTGAGTGCCATGAGAAGTCTTTGGTGGATCCTACACAGAGCAGCATGGCCTGATTTACATTAAAACATTTGCGGTGACTGCAGGAAGGAGAGTCAACTGTACGGTATAGAGCAAGCAGTTAGAAGGCTATTGTAGGGGTCCAAGCAAGAGATGGAGATGGCTTTGACCAGGTTGCAGCAGGGGAAGGGGTGAAAAGTGGTCAGATGCAGGATACATTTTGATGACAGATCCTGTAAGATTTGCTGATGAAATTGTATGTGGGGTCTGAGGGAAAAAAAGAGGCCTCAAGAATTATTCCAGCTTTTAGCTCCAAGTGAGTTACTGTGAAGAACGAAGAAAGATGCAGGATAGTGAAGAGAAATTAAGAATTTTTTAAGAATGTGTAAAGTGTGAGATTCCTATGTTAGACATTGATGTAGAGAAGGAAACTTGGCAGTTGATATATGTGTTTTTTATTGCTGTATAACAAATGACCACAAACATCAGTTTAAAACAACACTGATTTATCTCAGTGCTTTTGTAAGTGAAACTTCCAGGGACAGGATAGCTGGGTCATTTGCTGAGGGTGTCACCAGGCTAACAGAAAGAGGTGAGCCAGAGCTGTGATTTTCATCTGCGACTTGGGATCCTCTTCCAAACTCACTGATTGTTGGCAGAATTCATTTCCTTGCAGCTGTCTGACTGAGGTCCCCGTTTTCCTGCTGGCTGTCATACAGGGATTGCTCTCAGATCCTAGAGGCCACTCAATGTTCCTTGCCATGTGGCTCCCATGGGCAGTTCACACTATAGCTGTTTGCTTTCTTTCAGGCCAGGAGGAGCACATTTCTCTAATCCTTCACCTTCTTTTAAAGGTTTGCCTGATTAATTCAGGCCCACCCAAAATAAGCTCCTTTTCATTATCTCCAAGTCAGCTGATTAGTAACCAAATAACAGGAATGCTATCACACCACATTCAGAGTCCACTCATAATCAAGAGTAAGGGATTATACAGAGTATGTACACCAGGAGACAGGAATTTGGGAGGCCATAGTGGAATCTTGCCTCCCACAGTTAGTTATATGATGATTTTATGAGGCTATGAAACTGGAAATCAGTGGCAATTCAGGACTATGAAAGCCATAGGAGTGTAAAAATTACCTACAGAGCGACTGCATATTAAAAAAATGAATGTTAATATAAAATAACTATGTCTAATACTTATTAGGTACATTCTATTTGCCAGGCACTGTTCTTTTTGGTGTGTATGAGAGGGTCTCACTCTGTTGCCCCTGTTGGAATGCAATGGCACAGTCATAGTTCACTGCAGCCTCAAACTCCTGGGCTCAAGCGATCCTCCCATCTTAGCCTCCACAGTAGCTAAGACTACAGGTGCACACCACTATGCCCAGCTAATTTTTTATTTTTTGTGGAGATGAGGTCCCCTTATGTTGCCCAGGCTTGTAGGAATCTATAAGCCTCATTTCACAGATAAGGATACTGAGGCACAGAGAGGTTAATTCACTTGTCCAACCTTATACAACTATTTAAATAGTGGTGCAGTGGCTCACCCCAGCACTGTAGGAGGCTGAGGCGGGTGGATCACGAGGTCAGGAGTTCAAACCAGCCTGGCCAACACAGTGAAACTCCGTCTCTACTAAAAACACAAAAATTAGCAGGGCATGATGGTGGACGCTTGTAATCCCAGCTATTCAGAAGGCTGAAGCAGAGAACTGCTTGAACCCGGTAGGCGAAGGTTGCAGTGAGCTGAGACAGGACCACTGTACTCCAGCCTGGGCGACACAGCGAAACTCTGTGTCAAAACAAACAAACAAAAAAAAAAAAAAGTAGTGGAGCCAGGATTTTGACCCAGGCAATCTGGATAAAAAAATCAATCTAAACTCTATTGAAGAAGAGATGTGGGAACAGAGCTGACACCTGAATTTCCAAGTTTTTCATGTCAGAGAGAAGAGGAAGTAGCAAAGAAGATGGTGAAGAAGCAGCCCCTGAGGTAAAAGATTAAATCAAGAGCAAGCACGGGGTCTCCCAAGAGCCAAATGTAGAGAGCATCATGGGAATAAATGAATGGTTTTCTGGGTCACATACTAGTATTTGTAGAAAAATCTCCCATGTTTTCATTCATAAAGGTGCACCAAAATGATTCCATCACTAATACATTCACTCAGTAAATATGTATTTGTCTACAATGTGCCTGGGATGGGTAAAGCAGTGACCAAGATAGGCAGGTCCTCTCATCAAGGAGTTTACATTGTAAAAAGGGAAGGGGGACTGGAAATAAGCAAGTAAATCAATTCTTAAATAAGCTCATTTTATATAGGCTAGGAAGAAAGTTGAGTTGGGTTCAGAGTTAGAGGTAATTAGGACTGATTTCATCTTTGCTTCACATTTTATATAGTCTACTAGGGCCATCATTGTAAAATGCCACAGAGCGGGTAATTTTTAAAGAACAGAAATTTATTGCTCACAGTTCTGGAGGCCGGGAAGTACGAGATCAAGGCACCAGCAGATTCAGTGTCTGGTAAGGGCCTGTTGCTCACAGATGGTGCCTTCTGTGTGTCCTCTCCTTGTGAAAGGGGCCAACAAGCTCCCTCAGGCCTCCTTGGTAAGGCACTGTTCCCATTCATAAGGGTAGCACTCGCTTTCATGACCTAATCACCTTCTAAAAGCCCCACCTCTTAAAACCATTGCATTGTGATTAGGTTTTAATATAGGAATTCACAGGAGATACAAACATTCAGACCATAGCAGATCTCTTTTTCTGTCTTGTTGAAGGCTGCCCTCTCACTGTGTCATCACATGACTTCTTCTCTATTCTTGCATGGAGAGAGACAGACACACAAACACATACGCACACACACACAAACAAAGCAAGAGAGAGAGAGAGAGAGATGAGAGGATGGCATCTCTTCCTTTTCTTTTTTATTTATTTATTTTTTATTATTATTATACTTTAAGGTACATGTGCATAACGTGCAGGTTTGTTACATATGTATACTTGTGCCATGTTGCTGTGCTGCACCCATCAACTCGTCAGCACCCATCAACTCGTCATTTACATCAGGTATAACTCCCAATGCAATCCCTCCCCCCTCCCCCCTCGCCATGATAGGCCCCGGTGTACGATGTTCCCCTTCCCGAGTCCAAGTGATCTCATTGTTCAGTTCCCACCTATGAGTGAGAACATGTGGTGTTTGGTTTTCTGTTCTTGTGATAGTTTGCTAAGAATGATGGATTCCAGCTGCATCCATGTCCCTATCCCTACAAAGGACACAAACTCATCCTTTTTTATGGCTGCATAGTATTCCATGGTATATATGTGCCACATTTTCTTAATCCAGTCTGTCACTGATGGACATTTGGGTTGATTCCAAGTCTTTGCTATTGTGAATAGTGCCGCAATAAACATACATGTGCATGTGTCTTTATAGCAGCATGATTTATAATCCTTTGGGTATATACCCAGTAATGGGATGGCTGGGTCATATGGTACATCTAGTTCTAGATCCTTGAGGAATCGCCACCTATCAAACTAGGGCCCCACTCTTACGATCTTATTTAACCTTAATTATCTCTCTAACGGCCCTATCTCCAGATGCAGTCACCTAGGGGGTTATAGCTTCAACATATAAATTTTGAGGAGACACAGTTCAGCCTATGACATTCTTTTACCTGTAAAAAAAACTTTCTTACAAAGGGAGAGAAAGAAGAATAAGAAAATAAGTGAGTCTTTGTATGGGAACATTAGAGAAAAATAGTAAAGAGACAGATTCCCATTTCTACTATTATATAAAAATTATGGGTGGTTAAAATAACTCAAATATATAAAAACCTCACTAATTGATATTCATTGAAGAATTTGTGAAATGTTTAAAGTAATGAATCTGAATGATCAAATTACTGAATTTTATTTATTTTAAAATAAACAAATGTGTCTACATTTATTTATACATACCAAGAAGTTAAACATATTTATATATCATTCCATAGTAGGCAGTTTCTAGTTCAGGAAATCATAGAGCTTCCATGTTCATAGGTACTCCCAGATCACTAACTCTACTCCGTGGGCTTCAGATGGCCAGTTGTAAGCCTCATGAACCTAATGCCCAGCTATAGCAGGTAAGCCAGAGAGCAGATGATGAGCAACCTACAAGCTTGTTGGGCACACATGAGGAGGACTGGTGCAAAAGGTTAAGCTGGACCAACCCAAGACAAGTATGGAGGCCAGGAATAATAGTCAGGGGAAGAAAATGGACAACTTGTTTGGCTAATGACTCTCTGTACACACCTCACTGATGGAAGTTAGGCATCCAACCTGATCAGAAAGGGAAGATGCATCGTCTCCCACCATGCTTGTCCCCTCTTTGTCTCTGTGTGCATAAAATAAAAAGGTTAGGTAATACATATAAAAACCCCAACTCTGTACCAGTAATTTCTTGCTATAGCATCAAAAAATAAAATTAAATCCATATAGAGTTGGAAAGATGGGGAGATGTCAGTCCTTCTACTCCAAGTCTTTCTACAACTGGAACCCTAGTTCCAGCTTTTGGGGGTGTCCTACATGGCCACTCCCTATGCAGGGTACAGAGCTTCTCCTTTGAAACCTTTCCACAGCCCTCTGTCCTTTTAGCCACTTACCTATATGGAAGTTCTAAGCTCTGTTCACCCTCTGTGCTCCAGTTCCATTAGGAGTGCTTTTATTCCTGAGAATGGAGAGAAGAGGAAGGCCATTAGGTACTATAGTCTCAGGATGAGTTATCTAAAGAAAATTAGGACATTCTGCCATGGGGAGTTGATCCCCTTCCTACATAGCTTTTCCATCTTACTGTACCAAAAAGCCTCCCTTCTTTCTCAAATGTGAACTAAGTAACAAAAAGCCTTCTCAGGGGTAGATTCTGATAGCTTTCTGATTCATTCCAGTAAACTTTTTAAATTAAGGTTAATGATGAACGTCTCTGTTCTGTGCAATTCAGAGAGCCCAACTAAACCAAAGTGTGAAACAATTTTTTTAATAAGTAAATAAAAATATTATAAATAATATTTGAGAACAAATGGTTACAGTTAACAGATTGGCAGAGGAAATTCCTATGTATACTAACATTCTGCTGTGATTCTGTTCATTAATAATTTCCTTAGTTAAGTCTTTCTTTATAACTAACACAGTAAGTCAATATTCAAATTATTATTAGTTTTGAGTGTAGTGAAATCTGAATTATTGAGGTTTTATTATATGCTCAAACATCATTCAACTTCTGCTGATACATTATATATTAGTATATATATATATCAGATTCATTACTTTAAATTTGATTAGGTAGTTACATGCAGAAGAATTAATTGGATTACAAAAAAATGGTTCTTACCTCCCACCAAATATAAAAATTAAAATGGGTTAAACACATAAATGCAAGAGCTAAAACTATGCAACTCTTAGAAAAAAATATAGGTGTAAATATTTGTAACCTTGGATTACATTGTTGTTTCTTAGATATGACAACTACAGCACAAGCAACCAAAGGAAAAAGTAAATAAATTAAACATCAAAATTTGAAACCTGGGCTTCAAAGGACACCATTAGAAAAGTTAAAACGTTATATCTGAAGTCCATAGATAATGAAAAATATTTTGAAATCATGCATCTGATATGAACTTATATTCAGAATATATTTGTTAAAAGCTCTTACAACTAAACAATAAAAAAAAAATCCAATTTCAAAATGGGCAAAGAATTTGAATAGACATTTATTGCTCCAAAGAAGATAAACAAATGGCCAATGAATACATGAAAAGATGCTCAAATCATTAGTCATCAGGGAAATGCAAATCAAAAACCACAATGAGATGCCATTCATGCACACTAGGATGGTTCAAACAAAAAAGACAGGTAATAACAAATGTCGGTGAGGATGTGGAAAAATGCAAACCCTCATACATTGCTTGGGATTACAAAATGGTGCAGCTACTTTGGAAAACACTTTGGCAGTTGCTCAAAAAGTTAGAGTTATCATTTGACCCAATAATTTCACTCTTAGGTGTATATCAAAGGGAATTCAAAATATACATCCATGCAAAAACTTAGGGATGAATGTTTATGACCTCATTATTCCTAATAGCCATAAAGTGGAAACACCCAAAATGTCCATGAACTGATAAATGGGCAGACAATGTGGTATATCCATCCAGTAAGATATAAAAAAGTGTAAAAAGGAATAAAGTATTGATTCATGTGAGCCTTGAAAACATTATGCCAAGTGAAAGGAACCAGACACAAAAGATCTTGTATTATGTGATTCCAATAGTATAAAATGTCTAGAATAGCCAAATCCATACAGACAAAATAGATTAGGGTTGCTAGGGCCTGAGGGAAGTAGGATATGGAGAATGAATGAATACTAATGGTCACAGTTGGGTTTTTTTTTTTTTTTGAGATGGTCAAAATGATCTAAAATCAGAGAGTGATGATAGTTTTACAACATTGTTAATATGCTAACAAGTGAATTTTGAACAAGTGAATTCTGAGTAAGTGAATTTTATAATATATAAATTATATTTCAGTAAAGTTGTTTGGTTTTTTAAATAACATGCTTTAACATAGTAATGGGTTGGCATAGTTACCCAGTCATATTTTAACTTTATACTTTACCTTTTATTACTTATTTAGTTGTTCAAGAAACATTAAGAACCTGTTATTTATAAGCAATCCGTTAGGTACTAGGAATAGAGAGTTGAACATGTTGCAGTGTCCCTAAGACTAGTGGGACAAATAGAAACAATAACATATATTTATAATAATATATGATACGTGCCATAAGTCAGAATAATGACATGTACACGGTACTGGCTAATAATTGGAAGTATTTTAAAAAGGTGTCTTGCAATTAATTTTTTTACATTCCCTGCCTTACTCTTTGGAGATCAGGCAGTCAAACATCAGGATATCGCCAAAAAAAAAAAAAAAAAAAAGAGAAAGAAACAAGAAGCTCGATTTGCCTGGACCTAAATCATCAAGAGTTGGTGGTCATAAAGGTGGTATAAAAATAGCTGTTTTTAGGTCAGATAAGCATATTGGTTGCTTCTGCCTTAGAGAATACTACAGCTTTTCAAGTAATTTTAGCCAATTAGCTTCTTTCTGTCTTGATTTGAATTCAGATTGTGTCATCAAAACCATATCCCATGATTTCCTTGCCTTCGTTATATCTGAATAGCTGACAAAATAGGTGTAATAATTCCATCAAAGTAACTCAGACGTGTGTCTGTTGGGATTACTGAAGGCAACAATAGACATTTACCAAAATCCCCTAAAATCTCACCTGTTTATCATCATCCATATAGAAATCTCCAGTCACACCCTCAGATCAGACAAATGTACCAAACTCAGTAATTGGTATTCCCAAAAGGCTGCCTAAGTGTAAGCTGAGTGTGAAAGAAATCCAAGAACAGACAATCACTTCTTTAAAAGCATGTCCGGTACCCATGGAGCAGGCTATAACAGTATACCTTGGTTGTGTATATGTTTTCAGAGGAACACTGACAATTAACCAAAAAAAAAAAAAACAATCTGCCAGTAAAAATTACTCTCAAGTGGTTGGCAACTTTAGCTATAGTCATTTCCCCATTTATTTAACCTAAAAACATTTCCAAAGATTTAAACTATTTCCTGTGCTTCATGGTATGGCTTCGCACACCCAAACGACTTTACATCATCGAAGGAGAATGCACGATGGGGAATGGTCAGACTCTAACGAAGAACAGTTTTATTTCAGCACAGTTGTATGGATGGCTATTTTTTCCCCTTCCTCTCTTTATTTCACATGCTGAAAGATCAGCCCTTAGATGACCATGTTCCAGGCAGATACATTTCCAACGGAGCAGCAAGGCATCGAGGTAAGGCAAATGCCTTCTGCAACATCCCCTGTAGTTTACATTTCGCCATATAATTACAGGACCATCTTCTTCCCTGCAGGCTGATTGCATTCCAACAGCAAAAGCTGCATACATTTGATTCAAAAACAAACACTGGAATACTTCCGGATACAAGCTGTTAAGAATGTGTACAATTGCCTTGTCATTTATAAAGTTTTTACTAATCTTTCATGACCCACTTGCCTTGGTATAAATGATCTTACTAGAACTACCTTGCTGAATCTTATCTTTTCTAAGGTAACTTTTTGATTTATTTTGTTTTCACATTTTCCTTCCTCAATTTTGATGAAAAGGAAAAGAGAACTGGCTCCAGCTAGCAATCCTGGGCACCACCCAGAACAAAGGACCCTCTTAAGAAAGAAAAGGAGATTGTCACTCTTTCAGGGAACCACATTCAAAGCCAAACTACTCAGCCCAAAGGGACTGCCTGCAGTATACACTCCAACACCAAAAAAACACATTAAAATCATTTCATGCACATGATATTAGAAATATAAAAGGAAAGAAGCCTTCTCAACATCACTTGCCAGAGCACCTGTAAGCCAGGTGCCTTGTGCCAAGTCAGTGTGTATAGCACATGTGGTCTTACAATAACGTTACATACATTCCCATATTCCGTCCATCCTTATGGAAAAACAAAAAGAACATTTCCACCAAGACTTTATCCTAAAACATTACCCTTCATCAAAGAGGTATGTGGCACCATCTGTGTTGCAGGGTAAAAAGGAAAAGTTTTAGAATTATATTCAAGTGCTATCTTTGACTTTTTGGTGAAGTTGCAGATTCCATAGACTAACTAGATTATAAATTTTTAAAGTCCAGAGTTTTATCTTATGAATTGCTTCCTCAACAAATATGTATCATATTCAGGTATCTATAGGTAATTAATGAAACAATTCCATTCAGCTGTATATTATAGCCACATTGAGTCATCCTCTCAGGCTTTCATTTAAAAGTTCTCCAACATTGTAAATTCTGTCCTTATTAAATGCCCCTCCCATTGCCACCTTAGATTTATTAGTTTTATAAATTTGAAGCTAAAGATTTTAGTCTACCCAATGTCAGAAGACACAGACAGATATAATATTGCCTAGATTCATTATTTTATATTCATTATTATTGTGTTCATTTTTTCTTCTGATTTTTTTTTTTTAATTTAAAATTTTTGAAATATTTGTTGGGTAGGAGGCTGAATGTATTATGGGCCCTAGAACTGTGGAGTCAATTCTCCCTTGTTTCTGAGTAGATGCCTAGAAGAAACCACAGAGTTCGTAGAGTGATTACTGAAGTTGTGTTGATTTGGTCTTAAGATAGTAAAAAGATTAGTGTTTCTTCACACTGTAAATCCAGATAAAATGATGGCTTTAGAATACAACTAACAGTACTTCCCAAGACATGCTAAGCTAAAGCGAGTTCGTTTCAAGGAAGACATGAAAATACTTTGGAAGAAAAGTCAACTGACTTCTTAATTTTTCATTCCAAACTTGGAAAGAATGTTCTTTTAGTTTATAATTTCTTTAAATGGTAAATACCAGCCAGAGCCTTATGACAATTGTAGAAATAGGGTCTATCACCTCTACCTGTACATCCATGTTTGCTGCTAAATTATACAAAAACTAACTATATACTTTAAATTGAAAATTTTTTGGCCGGCCGCAGTGGCTCAAGCCTGTAATCCCAGCACTTTGGGAGGCCGAGACGGGCGGATCACGAGGTCAGGAGATCGAGACCATCCCAACGTGGGCTAACATGGTGAAACCCTGTCTCCACTAAAAAATACAAAAAACTAGCCGGGCGAGGTGGTGGGCGCCTGTAGTCCCAGCTACTCGGGAGGCTGAGGCAGGAGAATGGCGTGAACCCGGGAGGCGGAGCTTGCAGTGAGCTGAGATACGGCCACTGCACTCCAGCCTGGGGGACAGAGCGAGACTCCGTCTCAAACAAAACAAAAAGAAAACAAAAAAAAAAAGAAAAAATTTTTTTCATCCACTATTTTATACATGGCAGTTGAGATTATCATTTAACAAATCAGTGATTGACAAGTTAATTTGGGTTCAGGAGCAAACATCCTCAGGGGAAGTTCGTGCACTCCCAGAGCCTTGGCCCATGGCATGATCTCTGCATGCATTAGCTGGAAGGGACTGTGGGTTGCTGCTCCTGATAATGGAGGGAATATATTTGTAGTTATTTATGAAAATGCCAGCCCATGTTAAGCAAGACCATCAATGAAATTGTATGTGTAGGCAGAAGGGTGTGTTGACTGGATAATCAAAGGATGGGATGACATTGACATTCTGGAGTGTCTATGCAAGTACCACCAGACTTCACCTCTGCTGACATTTCCTTGGCCTATGGCCCTAGCTTACTGGATGAGCAATGGACATCTGACCTAAGTTAGGCCAAATAGTTTCTGTCTCACATATGAATTTGAAATGAAAAACACAGAAACCGTTTTGTGGGAGGTGTATCACATTTATGGCAGAGCTCTAAAGGAGAAGTGAAAATCCGGACCAAAAAGAAAGAGGGCAAAAGCAGATAAGCCAAGGGAAGCAGAAGAGAGGCCACATGGCCCGAAAAGGAAGAGAGGGGTAGCCACTGGGGTCTCTGGAAACTCTTCTAATGCTGTTCCAGGCCTCCATGTGGCCTGGTTGCTCTTCGGCTCTAGACTCCCACACACACACCGCTAGTTTTGCTTAGGCATATTTGCATAGTTTTCTGTTCCTTGCATTAGAAATATCCCTGCATGAGCCAGCATGTTTTTCTCTTTGGAATATATGTGGCTATGAGTGATACTCAAAAATTTTACTCATACATATAGAACTACCTTGACCAGTCCTAATACCTAGGAACTCCAGCCTAAACATAGAGAGAGGGCTCAGGAGACCCGAGCTTTGGCAGACATTGGCCCAGTACTTGCTGGACCATGGGGAGGACCCAGGCAGGGCCTTAGGTACTGACCTAGGTACTTTTCCCTCTGTGGACCCCATCCTATATAAATTATATCAAAAATTATATTTTATGACTATGGTGATAAAAAAACAGATATAATCTTGGCTAGATTCATAATTTTATATTCATTATTATATTCATTTTTTCTTATTATTTTTAAAAATCTAAAATTGAAATATTTCGGTGGGGGGCTGAATGCATTATGGGCCTCAGGCATTGTGCCTAGTGTGCCTAATGAATAAGTTGGCCCTGGTCCCAGGAGAGCAGTAGGGTCTATTTACCAAATTATTACAGAAGTGTTTCAGAATTGCAGCTACAGCCATGGCCATACTGTTGTGTACCAGCTGAATAGCAACCCTGTACCTGACACAGACCACCTAAATGTACATTGTCAGAGGAAGGGCCTACTATATATACAATTATTTTTATTCTTACATGTTACTATATATGCACAATTGATAAAGAAACCACAGCAATATTTTGTATTTTTGATTGACACACAAGTTCATACAAATGTATAGGAAATGTTTAGGAAGGATAAACACAAAATTGGGTACAATGGCTGCCCTTGGAGAAGGAAGGAGCCACTTAGGGTTATAAAAGATGGTCAAAGGGGAATTTTACTTTATTTGAAAATATTAATTGCTTTATAGAAGAATTTATCTCATGCATTACTTACATAAATAAAACACTAAACATTTAATTAAAGGCTAAATATACCATCTGCCTAGAGAAGGCTGATGATAAGCCCAGAAGATCTGTCTTGAAGAACTGCAATGTTTATAGCTGAATGGCTAAACACAGAGTCCTTGGAGCCTGACTGCCTGGCCCACCTCTGTCACTGACAAATTACTTAGCCCCTCCATGTCACAGTGTCCTCAGCTGTATAATGGAAGAAGTAATCGTAACCTACCTTATGGGGTTATTGTAAGGATTAAATAAATTAATATATGCAAAACTCTTGGAATAGTGCCTGGTGCATATTAGACTATGTTTTAGCTCATGTTATTGTGAGTGTTATCATTGGTTATTTCTATGTTTAACAAGTTCTCCTAAGTGTTCCCTACAGTTAGTAGTACAGAAGTTGGAAAGCCCCTGCTGTCTACATACAGACTCAAGGATTTGGTGCAAGCCAGTTTCGGAAGAAGTGAAAGGCATTCCCAGGAATGAAGAGTAATCAAAGTTTGAGCTACTGAGGTTGGCAGTGAGGTCAACGTGAGCTGCCAGCCCTCTTGGATAAGGGGAGCAGCTATACACTCACTGGGCAGTCTATTACAGAAAAGAGAGGCAGGTTTCATTCTGTCCAAACCACAACACACTGAGACCTATGTGCCAGGCCCTGGGCTAGATGCTGAGGGTGCTAGGAAGAATACCATGTTAGCTATGTTCCCTTAAGGACTGCATCCTCTTGAACAGAAACCCAGAAGAAGATTCAAAACTCACCATAGTGTCATGCCCCTCTTCAAAGCACCAAGGGGTCTTTTGCCAAAATGAATGCCTGTTTCTTTGAGCTTTCTTCATTATATCTAAAGAGAAAATCACAGAGTTTACATTTTACAGACAACAGATAATAAACTGACCATCAAATTTACTTGTAGATTAATTAGAGTTTATGATCAGCCACATGAAAGAAATATAGCGGGCACTGTTATAAAGAATTACGAAACAAGAGGATCCCTTTACACAAAACAATAGAGGAAAGGGTCTCTGAGAAGGTGAGATTTAAGCAAAGAGCCATCTATGCAGCAGGAAGACAGTTCCAGTCAAAGCAAGACTAACCTGTAAAGACTATGAAATGGAAAGGACTTTGCTATGTGTGAGCAAATACCAGAGGCTGGTATGGCTAGATAGGCCCAAGGCAAAAGAAAATAAAGTCAGAAACATAAGCAGTGGCCAGATGATGTTGATTCAAAGTGAAAATGTGAAACAAGGATCTTAAGACAGAAACAACAGGATCTGATATTTCTCCACCCTTCTCCACATTTGTGAAAATAAAGGAATCACTAATTAAGATATTTGCCTACAGAGATGCTAGAGGACAATCTGTTTCAAGGCAATAATGGAGCAAGGAAAGGCACTTTTATCAGATATTTACAAACACTTTGCACATAATTTTTCCCTTTATTCATCATATAATTTTATTTGAACTACTACCATTTTAAGGTATTATTGTTGACATTTTGTACATAAGGAAAGAGACTCAAAAACGTTTGGGATCTTACTTAAGGTCACATAGTGAATATGTGGCTAAACTAGGTGGGTAATTTAGGTTTTATGGCTCTTGTCTTCTTTCTGCTAGACTAGACCAAGAGGGAGAGGGTGAAGACTCATAACGTCTTCCTTACTGTGGTTACTGTGGAGTTCATCAGTGATGAGGGCGAACACAATCCAGTGTTCCTGAGGTGGAAGAATAAGTGTGGCATATACAGTGCAGAGATTATCTAGGAATGTCTTACCCTGCATGCTGCATGAGGGGGCAAGGGAGACAAGTACAAGAAAACCACAGCCCTCAAAGTCATGCCAAATTCAGTTAGGCCTGGTGTGATCAGCTGTGTAATTGCTAAAGCTGGAATCCGTGGCCTCTTGTATGCTGTTCCAACTCATTCCCACAGAACATTTGGAAGAGCTTTGCATCATGTGTTCAACTGGGCTGTGTCTTCCACAGGCTCTAGCTCGTTGTTTTATTTAGCATACGCCAGAATCTGGCAAGTTTACCTAAATCGACACCAAATTCCAGGAGTTTGAATGCTGACGTAAGATCTCCTTTTTAAAAAAATTTTCTTTTCTTCCCCCCCACTGTTTTTCATTCAAGAAGAGTATTAGCATGGAGTGACTGACAGAGTCTGCCTGTGGGAGGGAGTATTTCAAACGGTTCAAGACCCTGTGCTTCTCTTCCAAATTACACCTATCTACAAGCTCTCAGGAGACAAGAGTTGATTAAAGATTGGTGCTTAATAGCATAAGAGATCAGCAAGAGTCCAGGTTTCTGGCATCTTTCCATCGTTGTTATACTGGTGGGTAGTCATGCTGCTTAACCCATGCCTTATCAAAGCAAGCTATAGTCTCCAACGTACAGCTCCACCATGTGAAAATCCTGCTAAATGCTGGGTGGAGTACAGCTGGGTGTCCCAAATTATTGATGTGCATCCCTGACGGTTTGTAATTCATATATGGGGATATGCAGGAGAATACTTTTTGTAGATATGGCTCTTTTTTTTTGAGACAGGGTCTGGCTCTGTCACCCAGGCTGGAGTGCAGTGACACAATCTTGGCTCACCACAACCTTCACTGCCTAGGCTCAAGGGATCCTCCCACCTCAGCCTCAAAAGTAGCTGGGACTACAGGCACATGCCACCATGCCCGGCTAATTTTTTAATTTTTTTGTGAACATGGGGTTTTGCCATTTTGCCCAGGCTGGTCTTGAACTCCTGAGCTCAAGGGATGCACATGCCTCAGCCTCCCAAAGTGCTGAAATTACAAATGTGAGCCACTGCGCCTGGCCAGATATGGCATATTTTAATGCACGTTCAAAAAGAATATAATTAGAATTTCAAACTTGTGATCTTCATAAACATACTTGCTAATGGAGAGGTAGTAGTACCTGGTATCATGGTGATTCACGTTATGCTACCCACAAAAGTTACTGGTGTGGTATCAGGTGCTACAAAGCTATAGTAAAGTCATGATGGTAGTGCCCCACTGCCTGGCAATTGGAAAATACTAATGTAGCACAAAGAGCACTGAATTGAGACTGGTTAATATAGGCCAATTGAGAAATGTTTAAGCACTAACAATAGTGTCCTTGAAGACAGGAACTAATATACTTTGGATATGTGTCCCTGTCCGAATCTCATGTTGAATTGTAATCCCCAGTATTGGAGGTGTGGCCAGGTGGGAGGTGATTGGATTATGGGGGTGAATTTCTCATGAATGGTTTAGCACCATCTCCTTGGTACCATGCTTGCAATAGTAAATGTCTTCTGGCAAAATCTGGCTGTTTAAAAGTGTGTGGCACTCCTTCCTCTCTCTCTTGCTCCTACTCTGGCCACGTGACATACCTGCTCCCCCTTCTCCTTCTGCAGTGATTGTAAGTTTCCTGAGGCCTCCTCAGAAGGTGAGCCAATGCCAGCATCATGCTTCCTGTAAAGCCTGCAGAACCATAAGCCAATTAAACCTCTCTTCTTTATAAGTTACCAAGTCTGAGGCATTTCAATGCAAGAACAGCCTAATACAGGAACAATGGTTTCTTAAAAACTGTATTAGTTTCCTATTGCTGCTGTAATAAATAGTCACAAACAGTGGTTTAAAGCAACACAAATCTATTTTCTTACAGCAGAAGTCTGAAATGTGTCTTACCACAGCAAAATCATGGTGTTGGCAAAGCTGCATTCCTTCTGGGGGCTCTAGGGGAGAATCTCTCATGTCTCCTTTGCTTTTTCCAGTCTCTAGAGGCTGCCAGAATTCCTTTTCTCATAACCACTCCACTCTTTGCATCTGTCATCATCTCTCTCTCTCTCTCTCTCAATCTCTCTCTCTCTCTCTCTCTGACTGGCTCTTCTGCCTTCTTTCACTTATAAAGGACACCTGTGACTACATTGGGCCCACCTGTGTAATTCAGAATACTCGCTCTACCTGTATATTCTGAATTTAATCCCAGCTGCATAGTCTACTTACAGCCATGAAGAAGTAGCAAAGATGTGATTTTCCTTCCCCAAATAAATAATTAGAAAGCTAGGGGGAAAAAATGAAACAGCTGTTTGCAGCCATTGGCCAACATGCACAGCAGGATTCTGATTTCTGAGAAAACGGAAAAAACCGAGATGGTTCCTACAATTATGCTTGCTTTCTGCCTGAAATCACATTGCAGACCATGAAGGAAGGTGGGGGGGTGTCCCGAGCATGGCAGGTTTGCTAAGTTAAGGAGATAGAGAATCAGACTTCAGGAAGCCTAAAATAGCAAAAAGTTGCAAGGAAGTTCTGGGAGCAGCGCCCTATGCAGAAAAATAGTTTCTGAAATCTGAATAGAGGTCCTCATGAGTCTTAGCTGAATACTAAGATCTTATGCATAGGATGGAAAATCAGGGGACTAGGCAAGCAGCAGTTCAGGCGTTATGAACCGAATGGTTTACAGAGCTCACCTGGGGCTGAGCTGAAAAATGAATGAAAAATGAATATATCTCTGTGATGTGTGAGATAATAACAACAGGTCTAACATATGTATATCTACAGTGTTAGAAGAGGGAAAACAGAAGGAGTGAAAGAATAAAAATTTGGGGAGAAATAATGGCTGAAATTTATTCCAAATTTGATTACAAAAAGCTCAATGAACCCAAAGAAAAATATATATGAAACAAAAAATAATAGGAGGTATATTCCTGACCAGATGAGGCAGAAAGTCTTGACCACTTCAGGCACTCAGTAGAAACACCAGAAAGGCTATATTTTAGAAGGGGATTTAAATATCCGTAAAGTGTAGGGTACTGTAGAATCACCTTAATAAGTTTTTAAAAGTCTCAAGACGGTCAAAATGAATAGCAAACTGAACAACGAAAGCAATGTCAGCACTCTTTAAAGGGTGACAACAAAATCCAGACAGTGATGACATAATATTCACAAGTTTCAGCATATAACAAAATATTATTAAATATTTCAAAGCAGGAAAATGCAACTCATAACCAAGATAAAAATGTTTCAAAAGAAGTGGATCATCAAATGATGAAAATGATGAAATTGCAATCAAAGGCATTAAAACAACTATTTTAACTACATTCAAATATTTAATAACACACATGGATGTAGTGAGGATATAAATGGAAAATATAAAAATAAACCAAATGAAATATCTAGGAAAAAAACCAACAATATCTTAAATGAAAAGGATTAAACACTCCAAAGGAAACGATTCATGAAACTGAAGACACTGTAATACACATTATCCAAACGAAGCAGAAATGGGGGGAAAAGACTGAAAAATGAGTGATCTCTCTCATTTGTGAGATAATAACAAAAGGTCTAACACGTATTTTACAGCCTGACAAAGGCAGAACAGGAGGAGTGAAAGAATACAAATTTTGGGAGAAATAATGGCCAAAATTTGTTCCAAATTTGATGACACAAAAAGCTCAATGAGCCCAAAGAAAAATACATACAAAATAAAAATGAAAAAAATAGTTCAAGGTCCAGTACATACTCATCAAATTTCTTTTTAAAAGTCATGAAAGAGGCCAGGCACAGTGGCTCACACCTGTAATCCCAGCACTTCAGGAGGCCGAGGCAGGTGAATCACTTGAGGTCAAGAGACCAGCCTGGCTGACATGGGGAAACCCCATCTCTACTGAAAATACAAAAATAATTAGCTGGGTATGGTGGTACACACCTGTAGTCCCAGCTACTCAGAAGGCTGAGGGAGGAGAATGGCTTGAACCTGGGAGGTGGAGGTTAGAGTGAGCCGAGATCACACCACTGCATTACAGCCTGGGCAATAGAACAAGACTCTGTGCGTGTGTGGGGGGGGGGGGGGGGGTGG